GACGAGCAAGGCTTCTACAACTATCAGTCTGTGGACGACCTTGAGGCAGAAAAGCTAATTCAGGACTTCATGGCCTCGGGCTATGTCCAAGTCTTTGACAACGTGAGCAAGGCGGAAACCTTTTGCGGAGGGAAGCCTGTTCTGTCAAAGCTGGCCATGCTGGTAAAAGAGAAGCGGGACGAAGCTGGCAACCTTCTCCGGACGAAGCGAAGGCTGATATTGGACTGCTTGCGGTCCAATGTAAACGCGAGCGCTCTCTTGCGCCAGAGATTACTGCTTCCCAGATTGCAAGATGCAGTCAACAGTGTTCTGGATTTGCAGGCCTGGGGCCTGAAGCATGATCGCTGGACCTCTACTCAAGTTGAACTCCTTGTGATTGACATCAAAGATGCCTTCTGGCAGGTGCCACTCCACCAGCGCGAGAGGAGGTTTTTCTGCGCCAAATACAAAGACAAATACTTGGTTTACCTCCAGATCGCCCAGGGCAGTCGAAATGCGCCGTTGATTTGGGCTCGGATTGCTTCGCTCTTGGCACGACTCACTGCTGGCACCTTCAAGAAAGGTGAGGCGGCCTTGCAGCTGTATGTGGATGATCCACTGCTGGCAGTCCGTGGAACTGTCCCAGAACGTGATCGAGTTTTTGCTGGCTTTATATACTTTTGGTGTGCCCTGGGGGTTGGCTTCGCGTTTGACAAGGCTGCCAGAGGCCACGAGCTACAGTGGGTGGGGGCCACCTGCTGCTGTAACCACGACGGTGTTCGAATCAGTGTGAAGCCTGACACCATTTCGGAGTTGAAGTGCCTGACACACCAATTCCTCTCCAAGAACGTGGTGCCTATTAAAGCACTGCGATCTTTCGCGGGCAAGTGCTCGCACGTTGCCTCCATGATTCCTACCTGGAAACCTTTCCTGGGATGCCTATGGGCGGCTCTGGCATCGTCGGATGACTCTGCGAGTACATCGCGTGCCCCAAAGAACACCGTGTGGACCCAACAGATCCGGCACGCGCTGGACTGGATCCAGGCTTTCGTCATGCAGCATGAAGGGACGCTGTGCCGCACATATCTGCTTCGGGCCTACTGCAGAACCGGCGTTAAGGTGCGCATCATTTTTGATGCATCTCCTTTTGGTCTTGGGGCGTACCTCATGCTGGATCACAGGATCGTGTCATGGTTTGCCGATGATATCACTGCTGATGACCAGCGGTTGTTCGGGTTCCCCAAGGGCGACCACCGTGGACAGCAAGCCTGGGAAGCTTTGTGCCTCCTAGTCGCCCTACGTCTGTGGAAACACCACTGGCGCACTGTCCGTGTCACCTTGGAAACCACCGGAGATAGCATCAGTGCTCTGACAATGATGTCCACCTTCACTGCACGAGGTCACACAACTAACCTCGTAGCCAGAGAGCTTGCTCTGGAAATGGCTGATTTATCCTTTTGGCCCGATGTGATATCTCACATCCCAGGCATGAGCAATCGGATAGCGGACATCTTGTCACGGAAGCACGAACCTGGAACCAGCTGGCAGCTCCCACGTCAGCTGCGCGGCGTAGCTGAGGCTCGGCCGCCTAAACGGCGAGAGGACTTTTGCAGGTCTTATCGTTCTCCGCGTAGCAATTGAAGCGAAAGGGGAGAACGCCCTAATCAGGCGAGCAGACGTAGGCCGCCATCGGAAAAGCATTGTTCAACTCCAGAGGCGCAGTCGTCGAAACTGCTGGGCTCAAAGTAAAGCCCAGACATTCTGCTGGGACCCGATCCCAGTAGGTGCATGCAATCTCAGACATTGCCGAGTCTTTGCGAACTTAGATCACGCTGGCGTGCTGGGACACGAGCCCAGAGTTTTCGGTTTGCAAGCTGTGTGAGCGACTGTTATCGCCGTTGCAGTACCTGTAGGCCGCCGCTGGGATTCTCTGGAGTTGGGAGGACTTCACCTCTTCACTCTGTGTGCTCGCTGTGGGGGGAGTACCCCTCATAGAAGGCGTGGGATTGCTGTGTCCCTTTACCGCGATGCCTCGTGGCTGGGGAGAGCGTCCCTCCAAAAGTCCATCCTTAATTCATCAGGCTTCGCACAGCTTCGCTTGTGTGTGATGGCTGTGGGGGGAGCACCCCCCATAGAAGGCATGGGATTGTGGACAGGCATGGCTGTGTCCCTTTACCGTGATGCCTGTTGGCTGTGGGGGGGAGGACCCCCTCATAGAGGGCATGGGATCGTGGACAGGCATGGCCGTGTCCCTTTGCCGCGATGCCACTGGCTGTGAGAGGGAGCACCCATCACAGAAGCGTGGGCGTGTTGACTGGCATAGCCGTGTCTTCACGCCGCGACGCTGGAACATAGCTGTGGCTGCGTGGACCTCCTAGGTTTTTTTTTTGGGTCTTCTCACAGCCAACATTGCATGTTGTTCTTCCCACTTGGCGGGACTTGAGCCCGTAAGGATTTTGGGATTTTCGTATTTGGTGGCCGTATGAATTTTCCCAAATTGGCGGGACTTGAGCCCGTTGGGACGCATGCCATAGCAGCTGTAACCGTGGTGGGACCTGAGCCCGATTTTGTTTTTCCCTTCAATAGCGATGGCTCATATTGGAGCCAGTGTGGCGGCCCTGACATAGGACGGGGATGCCTAAACGAAAAGCGCAGTTTCTTGCGCAATGGGATTTCTCAGACATGAGGACACGTCCAGACCCTGAAGGGCGTTCCTCACAGGGGCCACAACTCCTTGCGCCCAGAAAGGATGCACCTGTCCTTAACCTCTCCTCGCGGGCTGATAGGGGTGCCGCTTTGGCTGCGGCAACGGATAAAGATGCCGCCCTGACTGAATATGAAGCTGTAGAGTTTGCACAGGGCTCAGCCGCCGCTCAGCTGTCATGTTGGAAGACTTGGTGTGAATTTCACAGCGAGTGGTTTCGCGATGACACTTTTCTGCCCATTACGCCTGAGAAAATCAAGTGTATCTCGGCAATGGCTAGGCGAGGCAATTACCGAAGCTGGCCGAATTATCTTTCCCAAGCCAAGCTGAGGCACATCAGAGCGGGATTCATGTGGACCCAAGCCTTGTCGTTAGAAGCGGTCACAGCCCGCCGGGCCGTGATGAGGGGCATCGGGCCGGCAAGACAGTCCGCTCCCCTCGACTTGCCGAAAGTGGTGGAGTGCAGCGAAACTCCCACGTCAGTGATTGAGGGTGGACCCATAAACTCAGTTGCAGCTCTCCATGGGGGCTCATTTTTCATGCTCCGGGAGATTGAGCTCTCATTGGCGCTGTGCCGCAGCCTGCATTTGGACCCGGAGGCCCTTACTGCGACGCTACTTCTCCCGGCTTCAAAGACTGACACACAAGCTTTGTCGGTTTCACGTACCTGGGCGTGCACTTGTGCAAGGGCAGCGTCAAACTTGTGTGTTTACCACAGGTTGAGCAGACACATGGACCTCCTCCTGAAACAGTTCGGGGATCCTTTGCCCGAGAAGCTCCCCGTTTTCCCGAGCTGCGAAGGGCAGCCAGTGACGAAAGAAAAGATGGTAGCCACCATTGAGGAGTTTGCCAGGAGGACAGGATCAGTGCTGCATGACGCTACAGGGAGGCGCCGATTTGGCGGACACTCTCTAAGAGTCACAGGGGCGCAGTATTTTTCATCTATCGGATTGGGAGAGACATTGATCTCCTTGTTGGCTCGCTGGACGTCGCCAACCATATTGCGATACATCCGTGACGCTCCCTTGCAAGCTCTCGACTCTGAGTTTGGCAAGGCCATGACGTCAGTTTCGATGCGCTGCCAGGCAAGGCCAGATGTAGAGAGGATACTTTTAGACCTCAAAGATATGCTGGCCCAGACCTGCCTGATAAGCGACCAGCTCAAAGGGCAACTGGCAGAAGAAGCTCAGTTTAGAAAGCGAGTGAGCGACCTGGAGAAGAAGGTCGACAGCGAAACCAACATTGTCAACTTAGAATCCGGAGTGCTGCACAAAACTCTCAGGAATGAGAGGCTGGTCCCTCCGGCTTTGTGGAAAACGCAGTGCGGATGGCCTTACGCCTTCAGCAGTTTCGCTCACCAAAGCATGCGGGATCAACGTGCGGTAAAGTCCTTGTGTGACAGATGCTTCCGTGACCGAGACTCGTTGGATCCTTTGTCCAACCATGATAGCGGGGAGTCGGACGGGGAGTAAAGGTCCGAGCTGGAACGATGCGGCTCATCGCTCACTCCCGATAAGATGACTCTGTTGTGCTATCTTGAGGTCACATGCATCACGAGCACTCAGATCCGGCAGTTTCCAAAAACAGAGCGTTCTTGAACTGCGAACTGCTGGGTCTTGAACCCAGGTGGGCGGGAGGGTTTGACAGTACTCATGAAGCGGATTATTGATGTGAATAGAGCGCAGCGGTATGGAAGTAATAATCGAGCGAATGAGTTCTCGGGGGGACGGGGGGGACTGAGCCTTGCCGGAGCCTTGACCTTGCTCGAGGCTACTCAGGTGAGGGCTCTGTTTTGTTTCCCACCCACCCTCCCTAGGGGGCCGAGCTGGAACGATGCGGCTCATCGCTCACTCCCGATAAGATGACTCTGTTGTGCTATCTTGAGGTCACATGCATCACGAGCACTCAGATCCGGCAGCTTCCAAAAACAGAGCGTTCTTGAACTGCGAACTGCTGGGTCTTGAACCCAGGTGGGCGGGAGGGTTTGACAGTACTCATGAAGCGGATTATTACAATTCCGGTGGACCTCCTCAAACAGAACACGCTGAGTCATTTTCTGAGTTTTTCACAATGCCGGGGGGGTACACTATTCAGGACACAACATTAGTGCCAAGATATACCAAGATATAGATACGTGGGCGGTCGGGCCGCAGATTTCCATGCACGGCGGGCGCTCCGCAGCTGTCAGCTTGGCGGTCGCGCCGCTGTTATGTACATATGTATATATGCCGAGAATCCTTTAACTGGAAGAAAACCCATAAAATGCTATAGTACACTACGCCCAGACGTGACATCCCAGACGTGCGCCTGCGGCCAGGCGGCGGAGCGCTCCGCCGCGAGGACGCCGCTGACGCTGAGATCGAGTCTGGCAGCGGCCACTCGGCGCAGGTTGTTTGTGGCCTAAGTTATTTTTATAATATTCTATAATCAACTAAAACCTACTATAATCTACTATAGTCTACAATGAAAAATATTATACAACAATACTTCAAGGGTTCCTGTAAAGGATCTACGACGGCTCCTATGAAGGTGAGAGACTTTAGGGTTTAGAGTCCGGGGTCGCAGAGGTGTAGCTCGGGCTTGTCCCCTAGAAATGCTGCTATTTACAGTAATTGCTGCCTCTGCAAACTCGGAAATGCTGCTAGCTACAGGGAGGCTGGGTCGGTTGACGGGCATCGCTGCGCCTTCCGTCCACGAGCTTGACGAAAGCGCGTGACCGAGCCACAAGCGACCTCTTGTCATGTCTGCGCCCGTTGTTGCATTCCCATAGTGTTGGGTTGTCTTCGCACCGCCCTCAGAAGTAGGGTAGGTGTTCTCTCGAGGAGTTCCGCAAGGGCACACACGCCTGCGCTTGCCAGCGCCAAGGGGTGCTTCTGAGCATGTCTGCATGTTTGACGTGTTGCAGTCCCCTGGTGCTGTTTTGTCCTGGCGCCGCCCTCAGCAGTAGGGAAGGCAGCTGTTTGAAGTGCGCTTGGGGTGCTTGACACCAGAAGGCGAAGCCAGTCTGGATGCTGGATTTTGTGGCACCATGCCCATCTGGCTTTTGAGTTACAGTATTTGCGACCTCTGGACACGCACGAATGCTGCTGTTTACAGTATCTGCAGCCTCTGACAACGCAGAAATGCCGCTATTTACAGTATCTGCAGGCTCTAGCAACGCACAAATGCTGTTATTTACAATATTTGCAGCCTCTGCAAATGCAGAAATGCTGCAATTTACAGTATTCTCAGCCCCGAACCAAGAACCAAGGCCGAGCCACACCTTTGCAAAAAAAACCCTTCCCCGCCAGTCCGGGGTGTGGAATGTGTGGACCCTCTCGGGGTTTTTTGGGCTTCGTTCTGGCGTTTGGCCTCTGGGCTCTTCGAGATGTTGGCAATGCATTTTTAATGGACGATGACATACTATAATATGCTATGACACACTATAGCGGACTCTAACGACTATAACAGACTGTAACAGACTGACTAGAATAGGCTACAATCAACTACAATTTTAGGAGAGTAGAGTAGCTAACATGTACGAAGATATACTACAATAAATTCTAATTCGATTATGGAGGGCCTTGGGCAGTGGAAGAACAAGCTCGAGGCTGCGACGCACTTCCCTGGGCCCTCCTAGACGTGGTTCTCACTAGAGGATATAATTTAAGTTACCACAATAAGGAAACCCTTTTGTTTACTGTACATACCTATTATGGTAACCTAAGCCTATAAACCCTAAACCCTTCAAGGAAGCCTTATAGATCCCTTAAAGGAACCCTTAAAGATCCCTGTGATGGTTAGTTGAATTAAATTAAATGCCTTCCTTAACAAGAACGCAGTAGAGAAATCACTGAAGAACACCCTCGATTCACTCAAGCCAGTTTGGAGGCCCCTTCCAAACATGAGTTGCGAGTGGATAACCTTTAAACTTGCTCGCCTGTGGCTGTGGGGAAATTCAAAGGTTTAAGACTTCAGGTTACTGGACAGGGAAGGGTGCCGACAGAAGTTGCACCCACTGTCTTGCAAAGTGACTTATTCTAATCTGCCACAATAAGGGCAAATACATTTGTTGTGGACACACCACTGTTCGAGAACCCAGTAGTGGGGAACCTTTTCGAAGTTGATACAAGAGGATTAAGCAGACAACGGGATCAAACCAATGAAGTTGCTGAGAGGGCGTCCGCTTACCATGAAGCTATGATGCCTTGAGCTTTAACTGGAAATCCAACGGCCCAACCTCCTTGAGGGTTTGCCCTTAACCCAAAGCCCTGAACCTTGAAGCCTAAACCAGACAGCCCTAGACCTTCAACCTAAACCCAAAGCTCCCAAACCTTAAACCCTGAGCGCAAAAAAACCGAGAGGCTCTCGGCACAGTGTGCAGCTACATTTGCGGCGTCTGAGTGGGGCTAAACCGAAGGAGAGCTTCTTCTTGTGAATATGGTTGCTCTTCCTGTCCTTATTGTGGTTTTTGGTGAGTGTATATACGGTTCCCTTTTAATATTGGTGAGTGTATATACCGGGTGTCCTTTAGGGGTACAAGAAACATACACCCTACTTCACATGGGGATTCAGGGCTTCGGTGCTCGCAACGTGGAGTACCTGAGAAGCCTTTCGTAGTATCCTTGGCTCCAGATGCCGCGATGCGGCATTCTTGAGCTGTTGAAAGTCTCCCTTTCCGAGGGCCGCCCCCGAACAAGGGGTTGAGAGGCTACATAATGTGAAACCTGCTGTTTTGGCACGTGCTGGGAGGCAACATGCAAACATCAACGGTGGGAAGTAGCCAAGTGGCAACTCTAACGTACGTTGTTTGTCTTGTTTGTCTTCCTTCTTGCTGCCATGGTAGAAGAGAGAGCCCTGAGCACAGCGTTCGTTGCCATGGATCCTGCCATATACCCTAAACCCTAAACCCTAAACCCCAAGAAGACGTGCTGCGCCTGAAGGGCCAGCCCCTGGTTGGTTTTAGGATGCAGAATGGCCCCTAGGGCTTTGGGCCTAGGGAATACGGGTCTAGGATTTCCAGAGTTTCTGGGTTCAGGGCCTAACCTTATACCCCAAACTCTAAACCGTCAAATGCTTCATTGTTGGAGGAGTTCCAGGGCCGCAGGCTTCAGGGTTGGCCTTTCAGGGTTTAGGGGCGTGAGGACACGGGCTGAGAGTTATTTTTCGGAGTGTGGGCGCCTGAAGTTGTAGGCCTTTGTGGGGGGGTTTAGGGCTTGAGCTTCCCACCTGGGTTCTTGTTAACGAACTTAGATAAAGTTGCCATAATAGGGCTATGTAGCAAAAAAGTATGGTGCCAGGGTTCATGATAAATCTAAGGTTAGATGCAGCCTGTTTATAAGTTCTCCACAAGTCGGCAGCAAAAAACCTGCCCCTGCAGGTATTTCACTGATCTCATGAACCCTAAACCCTAAACCCTGCAGGTATTTCACTGATCTCATGAACCAATCTGAGTAAAGTGGCGCCCTGCGAGCCTAGGGGTTCCCGCGCGCATCAAGCATTTGGGGATGCTTGAATGTTTTCGGCTCAGGGGTTTCTTAAGCGTTTCGCATTGCTCGGGAATCCTTCAGAGCGTGCGCTCCAAGCGCACGTGCACACAGCAGAAGCCCAAAAACGGGCTCCGGCTTGTGTCTTGCTGAATGACGACAATCTTGCGTGGCTCGACAATGAAAAACAGATTCGGAGGAATTCTCTCATGGCCTATAAGTCGCCAAAGCCGCATGATGAATGATGCAGCTGGAGAACTATGGCGCAAGATGTTCTAACGCCTTGTGGTTTATTAAAAAAGATGGGTAGTAGTGATCGCATGCCACTCATATCAGGTGTCCGTTTCAGTGATTCAGACAGAAGTTCCGTGTAGCCATTTTGGAACAAGTGTATTTGTGGAGGCCGACATCTTTATCGCCATGAAATTATCAGTGCTTGCCATGGCTACAAGTCGTCTTCTGGCTCCAAGGACGGCAGTTTGTGAGAAGCCGTTTGAGCCCAACGGCACACCCCTAGTTTGGTGGCACTATAATGGCAACGGCGGTTTGCAGCCTGGCAAGGGTCTTAGTGGGACGTATGCCGCCTTTCAGGACCATGTCCAGCTCGAGGGTTGGGGTCACTTGCACATGCAGGCAGAGGCCACTCTCGAGGGTGCCTACGCGGCGGGCTTCCTGGAAGGCTACATGACCTCGGTGCACATCTTCGAGCATTACGTTTCCTGGCTGCAAGCCCAGTTCGGTCAAGTGTCGGTGCACGCTGGGGGATCCATGCGGCATGCCTGGACAGCGCAGGGCGGGAGGGTCCGGAAATTTATCGAGGATAACGACCGATGGGTGCGGCAGCAGGTTGCCGAGAACCACGCGTCACCATACTGGCAGACAGTCGGCCGTCTCATGGCCCAGGCGGACGGCCTGCTGGCAGGGCAGCAGGCGGCGACACGAAACACGACAGCTATGCAGCTGCGGAGGACAGATATGCTGCTGCTGCTTGCCTCTGGGGACATGTACGACATCCAGCCGGCTGTACACCAGGAGAAGCGCGTGAATTGGGCCGCACTGGACGCGGCCAACTTTATGAAGGAGTTCCACAAGGGTGTGTCCTGCTCGGCTTTGGTGACCTACTCCGAGGATGCAGTGCGTGCGGGACACACCACCTGGACCTCCTACAACAACATGCTTCGAATCTACAAACGTGTGACATGGGCCATCAGAGGCAGGCCAGTTCACAAGGTGGCCTTCTCATCCAGGCCCGGCTATCTGTACAGCAAGGATGACTTCTACACCTTGCCGCTGCAGCGCATGGTGGTGATGGAAACGACGAATGCGATATTTAACAACAGCCTCTACGACAAAGTGCGGCCCGAGGCGCTCATGGTTTGGCAGCGGGTGCCTGTGTCGAACTTCCTAGCGCAGGATGGGCCACACTGGGCCAAGCTTTTTTCGAGGCACAATTCCGGCACCTACAACAACATGTGGATCGCCATTACCCTCGACCGTGCCAGCAAGAGCAGCCTTGAGGACGGCTTCCTGACCATCGCGGAACAGATCCCAGGCGAGGTGAAGGTCACGGACGTCACGCCTGTGGTCCGCAAGCAGGGCTACTTCTCCTCCTACAATGTCCCGTATGATGCAGGCATCTACGAGGCAGCTGGCTACCCGCGGCATGTCGAAAGGATGGGACCCGAGAACAGCTACATGAATTGCTCGCGCGCGAAGATCTTCCGACGTGATGCGCCTGAGGCCAGGGGTTCCATGCAGGCCTTCAAGCGCGTCATGGGCTCGAACAACTACCAGGCTGATCCTGAATCGCATGGCGATCCAAGCAAGGCCATCATGGCGCGTGGCGACTTGAGCCCTTACAGGCCCGAATTGTTCGGCGCTGTGGATCTGAAGGTCACCGAGGCTGTTCCTGGTGGAGAGGGCTGGGATGGCATCGCATGGGCGCGCTCTGGCCCCACAACAGACAATCAGCCGCCCTTCTCCTGGCTCAACATCCCGGATGGAGAGCCAGTGTTGCACCTTGGGCAGCCGGATGTCTTCAATTTCGACTTCATCCCGATGGCGTTTCATGACGCTGAAGGCATCGCAGCGCCGATCGACAGCCTCGGCGACAGTGACGGTGTCCGCATCGCACAGAGGAGGAGGGAGGGGAAGCGGGCGCCCGAGGAGAACCATCTGCAGTGGCTGGTTCCTATCTCGACAGCTGCGGCGGCGTCACCCATGAAGGTGACGCCTTTCTCACTGGGCCTTTGTGCGGCCGGCGCGATCGGCTTCCTCTCCCTTGTCCTCCGCCCGGTGCGGCAGCATTCACATGTGCCGGGCGAAGAAGAGTCAGTGTATTTTTTGCACGCCTAGGCATGGCACCGCACGCGCGAATCAATTTTTGACATGACCTGATGCTGCGATTCCTGAATCTTTTGTGTGCTCATTTTCTTGTTCTGACAGGGTAACCTCTGAAGTTTCGGGTGCTCAACTGAACCAACATCATCTTACAAGTCGCTACCGCCATTGAAAGTATTGTCATGAGCGTGATGCCACCTGAATTGGGAAATCGTGTCTTTGGCTAAGCTGGCCCCGTGAGCGGCCATGCACAACATGTACAGAGTTCCAGAACGAAACACTCAGAAGCATGTTTATGTTCTGGACACTTTACGACTTGCATGCAGTAGAGCCATTTTGACAAGTCGGTGGTGCTGTGGGTGGTCGACAGATGATGCATGTCTGTCTCTTTCATACAAGCTGCGATGTTCATGTCTTCAGCATATGGATGCGAGTCGTGTGTTTATTCACATCCACTCACTGTGCTTCCTACCCTGGATTCTTTTGGTTAATCATGCCTGTTACACAGATGGGCTATTGCGTTTTGAAAGAAGGCCAAGAAGATTAGGAAGGAAACTGCTCTGCCTGCGTTTTGCCTTTGAAGCCTGTAAGCCCTCCAGGACTCCAGGACTTTAGGGTGTGGGGCCCAACACCTTGGACTTATTGCTTCTGTAAGTGAAGGGTGCACGCTGCTTGGGTTTCATGAGTAAGCCAATTCTTGCAGCTGACAGCTCCAGACGTAATGCCGCAGGGGCATGGTCGCAAAACGAAAACTAGGCAGCTTGCCAGACATGCAGTTGCTGATGTGGAGACCCAGCAGGTCTCCTGGCCTTGTTGAGTCGGGAGTTCAGCGTGTAGAGGAGATTCGGGTCACCAGGGCTTCATGTGTAGGATCCCTGAGCCCTAAAACTCAAAAGAACTTAGTATCGGAGACTCTTAGGGCATCTGGGCCACCAGCTCATGACCCTTAGCCTAAAACCAAAACCCTTTGGAGTTTGCCTCAAGTACAGCACTCCACGATGAGGCCTTGAAGGGGATCACCATGCAGAACTGAGAGCCTCGAACCTAAGTGGTTTTCCCAGGGCAGTTTGTTTAGATCCCAATCGAATCCGATTGAATCAGAAAGACGTCAAAACAGTCAACAGACAACCCAAAACCGCCCGAGTTCCTGCCAATCATAATCAGCTGTCGTTCCTGTTGCGTCAGACACCAATCAGACCCAAAACGATTTGTGTGTGTTAACCCTGGCTGCATGTTTTGTTGGAAGGTCAACCTTGTTTTCGGCTTTTCATCTCAGCGCACGTTAGTGTTTGCAGGCATGGAAGATCTTTGCTATGAGCCCTAGTTGCCCCTGAGCCTTGCAAGGCTTTGGACGTTCATGAAGCCTGACAAGGGTGAAGGGTTTAGAAATTTAGCTCAGCGCTCCGGCATGTCAATGTCGTTTTCTACGTGGTTGAACAAGGCCGGGCCAGATGTCGCGTAGACTTTTGGAAGAAGTTACAACAATCTCCGGCTAAGTCACGCAGATTCTTGGTGTTGACTAAGGATCATGTAGCGCTGTGTTGGAAGCTTGAAGTTTTGAAGTAAGTCGCACTGTATCGTGCTACCATCAGCACGGGTCCTTTATTGAAGATACCTGCATGAAGCACTGGCCCTTCACAACGGCCGCTGGCCGCTGTGTAGCTGTTCGCAACATTGCCAGATTTTTGCCAGAGTCCCCACATCGCAAAACCCAGAATTACGTACATTGCGTACCTAAATTCCACTACATGTCTTCAAGCGTGAGGCCCGATTGTGAGATACATTGCTACCCTTAGTCTGCATAGCCATGAATGATGGCAAGGGTACACCAACCCCCCCCCATGGCATATGCCCTCGGCAGATGTGAGTGCTGCGAACTCACAAGATTCGAGTTTCGCCAGTGTCACCATCCATTTGACACATGAGGGCAACTGCATGGAAATTGCGCGCGCCTGCTGTGTGTATTCCACCACTGCAGCCCCAGTTCTCGCACATGGAGCTAGACAGCATTTGGACCACAAATTCTGTCCCTGGCTGGGAAGGTGGCGCTCCTGGTAACCAAGACTGGGACGCGTCTACCTTGCACGCTGTCGGACAGGGAAATCCCCTCACCAAGGACCAAATCGAGCAATTATTGAACCGAATGTGGCAGGAACTCCACGCCATGACTGGTGATGCTTTCCACACAATTTATCTATGTTTGGACTCCAAGCCCTTCAAGAGTTATGGGCACTTCCCCTTCTTTTTGCAAACAGCAACAAGAAGGACCTGCAGGAGGTACAGCGATCAGTGTGAGACACCTCTTTTCATTTCCTGCAGCTCAATTGGGTTGGCCTTGCTGGTATGCACTATACCTGGGCAGGCGCTATGGCCATCCCCTACCTCGTTGCGGCTTTCCCACAATATGATTGGGTCCTGATTGATCATGACATGGCCTTTACAGGTGATTGGGACTTGGAAGAACTAGTTGCACTAGCCCCGACATGGCAGCGACTACAGACCCTGGCCATGCCATCAGGGCAGGGTGCAACGAGTGCAAACACTGTACGAGAGTTAGACCCTCAGGCTGGTGGCTCGACTAGTGATCCTTACACCCGATCACCTAGCGCCAAGGTGTATGTTCCATCGGCCGACCCACATGTCAAGCTTCTCCTCTGCACAGAGCGCAACCTCGATGCCAATGGAGGATTTGTCGCATTCATCCGAAGCTCAGAGCCCAAGTGCACCCACTCCCGAAGCCTGATATTCAGGCTGTCATGACAAAGGTGGAGGGAACTGCTCGACTCTTCGGAACGCGCTCGGAGTCTGCGGTTTTGGCGGATCCACAAGCCCACCTCCTCTTAAGAGGGACACCGTTTTATGGGGCCACAGCAACCTCCACTCTCGACTTTGCCACTGCATGGATGCTGTTAGGTCGGTATGTCCATGCCGCTGCATTGGAGCCATATTGGAGGACAAATTAGTGGGCGCCCTGCGCCCAAGGTTGATGCTCCGGAGGATTGGAAAGAAGCCTTCCCTGGATACGCAGTGTGGGGAATGGCATGCTATGAGCAGGCATTTTTACCATGTGTCGCTGCTCTGGCCACGGTAGCTTGTCAAGTTGGATGGCTACCTGGACCCTCTATGTTCATGGCTAATGTTGCACCCGGTTTAGTATCTAGGGCCCCCCCCCCCCCCCAAACAATTTTGGTATTCTAATCAGTGCCGGCGGGGTCGGTCCTGGAGGTATGGCAGTAGTAGTAGTAGTAGTAGTAGTAGTAGTAGTAGTAGTAGTAGTAGTAGTAGTAGTAGTAGTAGTAGTAGTAGTAGTAGTAGTAGTAGTAGTAGTAGTAGTAGTAGTAGTAGTAGTATGAGTAGTATGAGTAGTAGTATGAGTAGTATGAGTAGTAGTATGAGTAGTATTCCCCCCCCCCCCCTAAGAAAAATCGCCCCGCCCGGCCAACTTCGCATAATTGCGGGTGCCCCCAAACAATTGGAGTATCCTGAAAAATTTTTCGCAACATCGCATTATAGAGGGTTAGTGTAGCAAACCGGGTGCAACATTAATGGTTTCCAGTCGGTGGGGTACCGCCCCCACTCGTCCATGCTTATGGTAGAGATAAGCAGCAACTGAAAGACTGGGCCAAGTTGGGATGGGCCCCCACTCTAGCGGAATCGCTCTGGGGCACCCCGGACATGAAGCCGCTCCGGGCAATGGCCGGGTCGAGTGATGGGGAAGCTAGATGGCAAGTGATGCCCGGACTTGCGATTTCCATGCCAAAACACATCCCTGTGTACGGCCCGGATGCGCCGCCGCCCGCCCAATGGAAGTGGTGCTTTCCGCACCTTACAATGTCACATCGAAGTCTCCTTCTTCAGCTGCAAGCGACTTTTGTGGGCAGCCCTGAAGCGGGTGCCTGCCGACTGGTGCCCCATCCGGCCTGTGCCTACCGGCATCTTCCCTGGCACCCGCTGCACCCAGCCTGGTGCAAGGACTTTACCAGACTTCCTCACATGAAGGGGCGCGACATGCCCGTGTAGGTCTAGGTGCATCAGCCGAAGCCCCAACTGCCCAAGGCAGTTCCATGGTTTCACCCGTTGCATAGATCCGTTGCGTCGGTCGAAGCAAAAGACGACCATCTTCCCTGATCCTCCAGCAGGCTGGACTGCAGGTCAGCCAGTTGAACAGCGAGCCCCAGAAGGCAATGTTGGATAGACCAATAACTTACCAGCAGATTCGACAGACCCTCCACGGCTAGACCTCAGACCCCATGCCCTAAATCCCAAACCCTGCCGAGCCCGAAGGCCCAAACCCTCAACCAACATGAAATCCATGAAAAACGCTTAGTGAACTCATGCCCGCAAGTGTCATGCCGAAGCTGTCGGCCCCTAGCCGCAGGTGTCAAGTCTTACAAGGCTGCATGCCAAGCCGTACTTTGGCCAGCCAAAGTTTTGACTGGCCACATGGAGCTAAGCCAACTGGCAATATACGTTTCCTTACGAATTTGGCTTTCGCCATGGCGTACTTTGCCTCTTGCGGCGAGGGCTATTCGGCATACCTCCCGAGCACCCAGTACCTGGGTGATTTGATGCTTGCTTGCACATCCTTTGCAGCGCATATTGTAAACTTCCATGGTTTCCGGCTTGATGTTGGACCTGCTTTAATAAAGTAGCCCCCCCCCCCCCCCGCTCCCTCCCGGACTGTTTGGGGGAAATTAGTATTCCGGATCGCTGTCTGTTTGGAAACTACATACATATTTTGACATGCAATATTTATAATACTTATGCACATTCAGAACAGGGGAGGAGAGCGGTCTAAGAGGAAGGTTTAGGGCTCAGGAAGAAGTTCAGAGAACTTTGAACCTCAGAGCCCTAAAAAATGTACAATTTTAAGGAAAATCTTTCATTATAGAGAACCCCCCCAAACAGAGGCCCAAGATCCTGAATAAGCCGGAAACTTTTCATTATAGCGGGCCCCTAGATGAATGCGGGTGGAACATTAAGACGTTGTTGCTCATGCATGGAAGGAGTGAATGGTATGGGGATGTTGGGCCCGGTACTTGAATTGAGTGGTTTGGGAATTTGCGGGCACGGAGGGCCTGCGTCGCCGCGGAGCCGGGTCCTCGCGCAGCTGCCTTGTTGGAATGTCCGAGGAAAGGAAAAAACACATGACGCGGGGGCGGGATGGGGGCTGACACTGGTTGTGCTCTGAGGGGGTGACGCATGCCCTAACGGGCCAGATGACTTGGGGTCATGTTTAGGAGCAAAGGGGCGGCAGGTTTTCGGACCTTCATGCGGCACATGCCCGAAGGACAGCATTCTGGCTCGGAAGTGGCATGCACTCAAAAATCCTGATGAGCACGCTAAGCGATAGCCGGCTGCTAAAATACGGATGAAGGAACGCATCAAAAAGAAGAGCTTGCCGCACAGGGCGTGGCATGTGTCCAAACGCTCTTGACAGAGGTCGTTGAAGGGAGAGGACCGGCGCGGGGGTGCTTTGTGTGGGAGCCACGATGTTCAGCAGTTGCAGCGTCAAGGTGAGACTTGTAGTGCTTTGGAATCCAAGGCAGCACCAATGGTCCCTTCCGCGGCAGACAACAGTTCCCGATGGCTTCCGGCTGCAGCACCTCGGCATCTGCGAGCACGCTGCCAGATGCAAGTCTTTCTTTCGTCCACTTGTAGTCTGACTCCAAACAATGCTCAGAGGCTGGTAAGCCCTCTAATGCTGTTCTTCTGGTATGCATAGCCACGTCTTCTGAGTCACAGATCCAGAGGTGCGGAGAGACGAGCGATGACTCGCCCTCCACCGGAAGTACCGGTGTACCGCGCAGCGACGGTGGGCAGTCAGATGCTCCCTCTTGGAACCAGCATGCCGCCAGCAAAGCATCGGGGGCTTTGTGGGTTCACCGCAGCGTGTGATCCTTTTGAATTGACCAAGGGACTTCGTTTGTGTCATAATTTCCCCTTCAGATCTCTCTAGATGTCACAGGGACATGGGTCAGCTTTCTAAGAGGTTGTTCTTGCACAGCTACAATCCGAAATGGGGAGCGAGCAGCGCTCCCAGCCCCCACAAGCCGCAAGCCAAAGGCCGTAGACCTCATGACCTGAAGCCGGAGCAGATGTGCCCGGCCCCAACTACTCCCAAGGCCAAGCATGGATCTGAGCAGCCCCTCGGGCCGCAGATGTGGCGGTGCCACTCGTTTTCATTTCAAGCGTGCAGATGTCAAGGCGCAAACCCCGAGCCAGTGACTGCAGCACCCGCGCACCTCCGTGCAGAAGATCTTGGCCTGGAGCTGAGATGAAGCGCCTTGCTAATCCGTGTAAAGTTCTGAGCAATCTGAGCACGATCTACTCATCATCCTCCATCCGCTTGCTCATTAGATGTCTGGGCAGTGCGCTGCAGCAAGTGCGGTCAATGCCAGGCTGCATGTGAGGCGGTCCTGCAGCTGAAGTCGTCTGCAAGGCCATGGCCCAAGACGTGTGTAGCCGCATGCTAGCACCCCAGCTGTGCCCCAATGTGCCGTGGCGTTTGGCAGCATTTCTTGTCCACTGGCTGGTGTAAGTAGGGCGCTTTCGTTGTTTTTAGTCGTGGCAGTAATCGCTTCCCTCTACCATGAAACACGCCCCTCACCCGAATAAAAAGATGGATGCTGGCCGAAAACAACTGACATATTGGGTGGGCTTTCGCTGCAATGATTTAGCAAGGACCAAAACACAGGCGGGACTAGTCCTGACATTTTCTGTGCCAAGAAAAATAACTTTCGATGAAGAGTCACAACAAGAAATCGCTCGTTGCCCGGAGAGTTTGGCCGCTCGATTTGTGAGCAGTGCACGGCTGAGGCTGCGTTGCATCCAGCTGCAGGGAGACGTCAGACGTGCAATCGAGGAGCTCGATCGCGAACGAGATCTGCGCCAGCACTTCGAAGAGGCATACTTGGGCGAAGTGCTTCTATGGGCGCAGAAGCAGTGCGATGACCTGCAGCGTGCGGCGCAGTCCTTTTTCGCAAGGACAGCGGAGCAAGTGTTGACATGAACTTTCGAAGAAGCGAGTTAGACACTTTTTTTCAACGTGGGAAGTTTCGACATCTGGGGCTGGAAGCTTGTCAGAAATTGGATCACCAATTGCTCGCACAGCTGTGTGGTCAGCCAGGACTGATCAACATTGGCACTGCCTGCCTGTAGATGTTGTTCGTATTTCTCTCCGTTGCCCTGAGCCCCAAACCCACCTAAACGGAACATACCAGGTTATCTCTCAGTTGCGTGAGGTACGGCCCTAACTAGAGCTGAACAGGCCCGCAGCCAAAAAGCTGGTCGCGGGTACAAAAATCAAAGATGAGCCACCCTCGCGATCCAGCTTAGGGTGGGTTGAGCCCGCAGGTTTGTTTGTTGGCATTCGCGTTTTTGGTGTTTGGGTTGCGGCGGATCCCCATGACATGATAGGACATGATAGGATGCGAAAAGACGGCCTGGCCTCAACAAGTCGAAGTGGGAGCCAACTGCAGCAGCACAGGCCGTTAGCTTTAACAGTTCAAAGTTTGTGAGATGGGTGAGCCTGGCATTTTCATAACTGGGGTGGGTGGTTGATTAGAGCTGCTGAAGTATGGCAGTTTGCTCACGGCTTGGTGGCTGAGGCCCGAGGAATGTCTTTGAGACCATCTGGGGATTTATTATGGCCTGAGTAGGTGTGGTAAAGTGGCGGCTGGCTGACATTCAAGAGCGCATCCCATGCAGACTTTCCGCACCTGTGTTGCAGGATGATCGCCGGGGCCAAGCTGCTGATGGAAAGCATTAGAAAGCTCTCCTCCTCCTCACTGGGTTCTGAGCTCCACGGCTTCATACCGGCCGGCCAGACGTGATACACTGCCAGTATTTGTGAGCTTAGATGATTTTTTCTGACAGGGACTCGCGTGATTATTACAAACATATCAAGCCTGACAGAATCCAAGACCATGCGCTGGGTCTAGGTAGCGCCCTTACCAGGAAGGTGAGACTTTGCACAAGCGAGCTGTTGCTCAAGCAAGGCAGCATCGAAGACCAGTAACGTTCTTCCGACGCGATGAGCTTCCGCAAACAGTTCAACAGCTGCAACAAATGATGGCAAACTTCCGAGGCAAGGCTGTGCTTGCTGTTGATTTCCTCCCTGCCGTCACGTTTGCCGCCAGGCAAGCCCATGTCGCGGAAGCAGCTGGCCCTATTGATCCATCCAGATAAATGCTCGCATCCCCGCGTCGAACCTAGTTGTTTGCGGATTGTTTACCAAAACTGCATCTCAACTGCAAGCTTGGCCACGTCCAGGCGCAAAAGAAGCCTTCCAAAAGCTATGGGCGTGCCAGTGAGAGGAAAAAGACGTCTCATGGCGCTCTGTTGTCACTCTCAGAGGATGCACCTGTGCCACATTGACATGTGTTGCGTACGCGTTTGCATGACTCCGCCACTTGGGCTCCTCAGCAGCTTTCTTGTCCATAGCTTGTTCCATCAACGCGCCTTCCTTGCGGCCCGGGATGGGCTCATTTCTGTCCACGCCGGGCGGAGAAGGCACGTGGCTATACAATCAAAGGTTGTCTTGCCTATAGGTAGTACACTTTACCTGAAAACCCCAGCCCGAAGTCCTTACGTGCCAAGTCCTCATCCAGGATACGAGTTGACTTCCGTTCAGTGGCAGGCCGTACTCCTGCCCGCGCTTTTGCGTAGCTTTGGGAGTTACAGTCCTGCCGTGCCCTGTGGTGTTTTCAGTTGGTCCTGATCTTGAAAGCCCCAGAGCGATGTGATGTTGCCAGGATAGGGAGGAGACCACTGCGCGGTTCTTGTGCCTCACTGCCCCTGCCATACCTCATTTCACCACCACCGCGGAAGGTCACACTTAGCCTGGACGTGGCTGGAGTCCTGGGCAAAGGCGCTGCAGTTTTGCGTTTGGTTTGGACCGCCTGCACTTCTTATGGCCGTGGCAGCAGTATCGTGAAGGGTCCACGGCGGTGGTGTACAAAGTGGGGGAAGGCCACGCGTCCGCAAGAGGAGGGCTTTGCAAGTTAACATCCGCAAGTTAGGATCTGCGCAAGGCCTTGCCGTGAAGAAGTTTTTTCTATCAGCTTCCATCGAGGACCAGCGCTTGTGAATCAGCTGTCTTGCACGTTCTCAAAAGGCTTGAGCTGTGCTCAGGAAGCCGAGCGTGAAAAGGAGCTCAGGCGGCAATGCGTGGAGGCAGGTGAGAGAATACCGAAACCCTTGCATTCTTTTTGTGCGAGTGCTGCTTTTCTTCGTGTGGTTTTCGTGTTTGGGCTTGGTGCTTTTTTGTTTTGCATTTTTCGAGTGTTGTCATGATTCGTGCTGCTTTGCGTCGAGTAGGATGCTTTGTTCCACTCTGCACTGTCTCTGTTTCGTTTACTTCTGCTGACTGCATTGTATTTGTTACCCTTCTAGCTGTGTGTGCTAGGTAAGTGTTTGTCTGTGGGTGTGTTGATTGAAGGTGACCCCTTAGAGCCAGGAACTGTTGAGTTTAAACGTAACAACTCGATTGCCACGAGTTTGCTTGCACTCTGTGTGTGTGTGTGTGTGTGTGTGTTTTGAGAGTAGTTTTGGAGTTTTATGGGTGTTGTGTTTGCATGAATGTGCTTGCTGGTTGTATCTCATGCTTTCCAATACATGCAGCCTGTGCCTATGCCTCATGACTACGCATATTTGAACATCCGCCAGCCCCTGCTGAGCTTGAATTCAGTCTCATAACACCATTGCCAAGAACCCTCTGTTCGCACCCACTCGGACCAAGGCTCGAGAACAAATGTGCAGGAGTGCCAGCGTGGACACGAACGCTTTGCAGGAACAAGTAAATGCCAAAACTGCCAAAACCAATTAAAAAACAGTGCCAAAAACATGCCAAATCTCGGCCGCGGCTGCGGACCTGCGGCCTTTCAGGTTTTCGGAGGATGCCTTAGGGTTTTGTTTTTTTTTGTGTGTGTGTATATATATATATGTGATGTGTGTGTGTGTGTTCGTGCGTTTGTTTTTGGCCGTTTTTGCAAAGCATGTCGTGGACCCTCTTCCCGAAACACGGAGTTCTGTTTGGAGTTTGGATTGGAACTCCGGTGGTGTCCACTCCCTTGTCCTCCCCTCCTCTATTGGGCCTTGAATCGCATATCCGTCCGTCTCATTTCCCCTCGTAAGCGACTGCAACAGCTTCAAGATGTGGTTTCGGCAAGAGTTCAAGCAAACGTCAGGACGTGAGCGTTCTGTTCGCCTCTATTTTCCGTAGCTTGGCCTGCAGGGCAAGAACATCGTAAAGATGATATTCGCCTGGCAGTCGGTGATCATCATGGAGGCACAAAGTGTGCTATCAGTGGGCAAAACATGCCCGCAAGCTGTCTTGCTCTTCGTATGCCGCCTTGTGCCTGGCAGGCTTGCGACAAAGAGCTCTTCGCGGCCCTGCCATGCAGGACTCTGGGCGGAAAGGGTATTAAGGCTCCAGGCTAGGCTGAGCATATCTTCCAGTTTTGCGCTACAAACTTTCCGTTTTAGAAATTTTTGGAAGTATCTACTGCTGATGCCAACTTCGTGTGGTTGTAGAGTCGATTATCCTGCCGTGCACACCACGACGCACGATCATAAACAAACAACTTCAGTTCCAATGCTAGCATAAGTCTCCCAATAAAAGTCCAACAGTTGCTTTTAAGATTCCAGCAGAAATTCCACAGGCCCCAAGACCGGAGGCCCAAACTGAGATGAAGCATATTTTTGGCCACTTGAGGTTGTAGGTGAGGTTGTAGGTTGCCTGCAAAATCAAATTAATGCAGCAGTTTCGGGGCAATGCAAGGCATCGAGGGCCCGCAAGGTTTTCAAGCTGGGCCAAGCTCTTGGTTTCTGAAATTCACTTCTTTTTCATCACCTCTTCGCGTGCCGGGTGCCAAACTCATTGGGTGTGTGCTTGAAGCAGCTCGAAAATGCTCGAAATCTAGTGTCTTCTGTGAGGGTAAATTGATGTAATGCGACACCTCTGCGAGTTGAGAACCTTTGCAGGACTGCTCTCGCGGAGTTCCGCCCAGCGCAAATAACAAGCGACATCATGCGTGGACTGAGCTACCTGCATGCTCTCAAAATCCTTCACCGTGTCAGGGGCTTAGTGAGGGAAGCGGTTCACGACACGACCTTCCGCCTTTCATAGCTTTCGAGACGCTGAGGATCTCAACCCCTGGAACATCCTCCTCAAAAATGTAGAAGGCCATCTACTCTGCAGACACTGTTCATTCACGATCCGATATTCGCAACTTAGTTTGCTTTGGAGCTTTCAACCTTTTCTTTGATTGTTGCAGGCGGGGTGGTGGCCAAAATCTCTGACCTCGGCATGGCCGTGCAGTGTCAGACGCAGCTGTTCGGCCGAGAGGCCTGCTTCCAGCTGCGACGCTGTCATTTTGTGTTAGGTGCTCGTGCTGCGGATACGGTTGCAGTCAGATGACACCACGCTGCCCAATTGCGCGAAAGACCGTCGTAGAGGTTTTGCCCTCATAAAAAACCCAAACCTGCTGAAAACACGAATCATCGAAACAAGGTGTTTCAAAACAGATGGCAACATGATGTTAGCAGTACTAATCGTATCTAAGAATAATACCTATCACCGATATTGAAGATAATCCTCATAAAACATGTGTATTGACATTAACGATGTTCATATCAACAACAATATCTATATTCTATATGCATGTTTATTGGTGATAGTTCTAGCAATGACAACAATGGGGTCCCGGGTAGGGGAAGGCACTGCATTCCTTTGGAAAAATGCCTTCGGGTAGGGGGGGTATTGTTTTCAGATTGAGAGCAGGGATCCGTTAGCCATCAAATCCAGAAAAACTGGATACGAGCCACGAACCCGAATGCAAATTTGCCTCACATGCAGTTCCCCCTTAGCTTGCCGCATCGTGGCAGGGGAGAACCTGTCGCTACAATGAAAGTCTGGTCTTATGTTGATTCGTATTCGAATCCCTCTTTTAATTGCTGGTCGGGTAAGCCAGGACAAAGTCGGGTCGAAGGCACGAGCGCGCAATTTGCGCCAAACCCCATGTGAACGCAGCTGTAGACAAGCACTCTTCTGGATGTGTTTTCGAGAACAAGTTGCTTGTAACACAAGACCGCTACATTTTGGCATATTTTGGCATTGTTGCTAAGGGAGTTGGTTAACACACAGCAGGGCTCAGCAGGGTGTGGAAACACACATCGCCCGAGTGTGGGCGCTGATTCAAGGCAGTTGCAGTAGGACCGGGATGCTACCGAGCTTGGATTTCCGAAGCCCGCTGCTGGCCGAATAAACCCTGAAACCCACGTGCCGAGCATCTTGGCCGAAATCCGAGTACCACGCGCAGCTTTCCTAAAAACTTTTGACCCGTAGATTTTTGAGAGAACCTCTTCAATGTATTTCTTTTAAAGACCTATTCAATCTTGCGTTTTTTGAACAACACATTCAACTATACATTTCTCTGATGACCTATTCAACCTTGTATTTCCCTAGGGTCCTAGAAAACCTATTCAACTCTGTATTGCTCTGAATAAAACCTGTTCAAGTCTTAAATTCTCCGAAGACCTATTCAACCCTACAGTGCTCTACAAAGCCTATTCAACTCGGTACTTCTCTGAGAAACCTATTCAGCCGTATTGCTACAGCTATTGAAAGTCGATGCGGGGGGGTCACATCATGGTCGCATCATTCCTAAGGTTACTGGAAGGAAGGCACGCGAAAAGTATGCAGACCAGTATCAGAGAAAACGCGCGTGGGAACGCTGGAGCACGCAGCGGGAAGGACCATGCGCCTTTTTGCGGGAAGTCCGTTGTGATTTATCTCTCACGAGCCGGTGAGAATATGCATCACTGCATGTTGACACTGCGTCAGAACAAGTGCGCAGCAATGGCAAAACTACGCATCAGAGACTGCGAATTCTCAAGTAGACGCTACGTTTGAAGCAGCCGTGAAGGACACGCAGAAACCTTGTGTACGTGGCGGATGCCAGGGTTTAAGTGCAATTATGACTTATTTTCATGTGTTTGTGCTACTGTTACGCTCGACAGTCTCCATATGGATGCTGCGTTTGAAACAATCGCGGAGAACGTGCTATTCCGCATTTAGTTGTGTTCATGCTTCATGTACGTATACACTATCTATACGCAGACATACTTTTGACTGATTGGTTGATTGGTTGGTTGATTGATTGGTTACCTGGTTAATTGGTTGATTGGTTGGTTGGTTGATTGGTTGATTGGTTGATTGGTCGACGGGTTGATTGATTGATTGCAGCCTCGCGCAGGGCTGATCACCAGCAAGGTGATGCTTCTCTGGCTTTTGCTTCTGAAGCATGCGCGCAAAACCATGAGCATGCACTGCGCATGATTGAACCACCAACTAGACGCTGGCCTGGCAGCTGGTTGTACGAGGTACTATAAATCATACAGGCTAGCTTGAAACCTGGCTTCTGCAAGTAGACGCTCAGCAATGCGTGAAACAACCACGCCATGATCGATAAATCTACCATTTGTACCCTTTTCTGTGTGCGCGCGATACCCAAACGATATCTCCAAGTCTGATTTCAAGGCATCGGCCCATGCAGGCGCTGTTCTGCCCATGTTTTGAACAACCTTTCTGCGTGGTGCCCAGCAACCAAGCCGACGTACCGAGCTTTAAGGTGCCACTATACGCAGAACATGCGAGACAAACTTTGCTTAACGCACCACTAATCAAAACATCCGAGAAGGCGGCTTTGCTCAACGGGGAACCCAGGCACAGAGCCAATAAACCATATCGACCTTAAACTTAACCCCATTTAAGCACAGCCGCAATACGTCCCGACTTCCTCGCAAGCTTTCCCCGAAGTACTGCAGCCACTCAGCAAAACAGTACCGACTTCTACTGCCAGAGCGGGAGTATGCATTCGGGAGCTTTGGAAGCACACACAGGACGAGAAGGCACCCAGGAGGTCAGGACACTGCAACCCCAAGCAGCCTTCGACACGCGCTTCTCGTCGCCATTGTGCCAAACATAGCTTAGTTCAGGGTGTCGTCACCAATTTTTCGGCACATGCCATCCTGTATTTCAAGAGGCTCTTCCGTTTAGCGCTTGGCCATCTGTACGCCCGCGGTCTAATCTGAAGGTGTTTTGAATTGTTCCCCACTAATACTAAACCCCACCCTAATTTTGCATTATTGTTTTCCCCGGACCCCCCCGGCACCGGCCCAATACTAAACCTGTTTGAGAATTAGGGAGGGGGGTTGAGGGCGTGACTGCGCTTGGTCGCAGTGACTAAATACCACATCTCTCTCCTTAGTGGTTAATGTCTAACTACTATAGGGAATCTCTTTGTCTCTCTCGCTTTTTGAGGCATCGGATTTCAGGTTTTAGGGTTTTGGCCCCCCTAATCGTACATCGGGTGCTGTGTCCATGGCTAGTCCGAGCCTTGTGCTCGATGGCAGTACTTGCCGTGCCCACTTGCAAAGTCAAGCCCCAAGACTATGCCCTCCATGCTCTCCTTTTGCTCTCCTTGCCAGGGCATCGACGAAAGCTCCTTTACGTCCGTATTTTCATCGCCAGAATTTGGCACCTCTCGAGGCCTGTCGTCGGAGACGCGTGGGGGCACATGCGCCCTGTTTGTGCCGACTCTTCTTGTAAACTTGCAGAGGATATGGCTTTCCGGCGGATATCTTCTCGGCGGGCATGACACTAATCACGATTTGGTGTATTGCCCAAGATCAGGAGCGGGTTGCTGCTGAGATTGCGCAAGCTAAGGTGAGGTCACAAGCAAAGGCAATGGATGCTGAACTTTCTGCTTCCTGGCAGGACGAAATCATTGAGGCAGTTGAAGGCTCTTCTGGGGCTGCGGATGTGAATGTTGAAGTTGTTGATGATGCCATCATGGTTGCCGTTGCCGTTGTTGTTTCATCGTGGTTGTTGCTGTTGCTGTTAGTGTTGCTCTTGTTGCTGCTCTTGCTGATGAAGCCCTACGTTCCATTTCAACCGGGAGTTCAGTGCGAGGTGCTTATTTGTTTTTTTGCGTGTTATATGTGTGTTGTTTGGTTTTGTTCAGGGCGTGAAACTCCTGTTCGACCTTCAGGTGGGATGTGGGGTGTGGTGGGTGGGTTTGTGTCAATTGCCTGTTTCATTGTGCTTGGCAGGTCGAGCAAGGGCAAAAATGCCAGGCCTGTTGGACAGAGAGAGAGAGAGAGAGAGAGAGAGAGAGAGAGAGAGAGAGAGAGAGAGAGAGAGAGAGAGAGAGAGAGAGAGAGAGAGAGAAAGAGAAAGAGAGAGAGAG